CGCAAAAACATAAACCACTAACTAAGATAAGTGGCACCGTTTAACTAAAGTGGCCCAACCATCTCCTGCCACTCTTAGGGGAGGCCCATTTCGAGTATACTGTACGAGCGACTACCCTTTCCCGGGACCTAAAGACCATTCTGTTGCCATGCCACCCTCTCGTGTCTTCCTTCGTAATCCGAAAAGAGCGTATTTAGATAGTAGATATAGATAGTAATAAAAAAGAAAGTAGATAAAGATAAATAATAGATATAGATAAAGATAAATAATAGATATAGATAAAGATAAATAATAGATATAGATAAAGATAAATAATAAATATAGATAAATAAATTTAGATAAAGATAGTAATATCATAATTCATTAAAACTTAAAAAGTACATTAAAAAGGATTATGACTAGCAAAATGAAAGTGGTAAAAGAAATTTAAAGAAAAATATATAAAATAATAAAGAGTGAGGTAAATAGAATATGAGATTCCTCCTTACTCTCATTTCTTCGTTAATTCATAATACCTAATTTTTGGAGTTCTTGCGTATGGATATAAATGATGATAAAAAAAACTTTTAATAATAAGAGAGAAAAAAAAACAGAAGCAAGTAAAATAAAACAGCAAAAAGAAGGGAGGTGTAGCCGCGTTTTCTTTCCTGTTCGCGTTTTCTATACAGGAGCCTCGGGGCGAATATAGGGACAGCATCCTCACCCCAGGGAGATAAACTGTCTCCTAACACTGTCTGGCGAGACCTTTTCATTTTTTTTTTGTTTGTTTTTTTAGACACCTGCGGGAAAGGGAGAGTGAGAGTGAGTGTAAGACACGTCCGCTTCCTCTTTACCCTTTCTCCTGTTCCTCCTCTCGTCTCTCTCTCTCCCTTCCCCTCCCTCTCTCTTACTCGTTTGGGCGCCCCTCTTCCCTTCCACCTCTGACTCTCTTCCCTCGCTCTACCCTCCTTCCTGTATTGTTCTCTCCATTTCATCATCCTTCTCCCCCTCCCCCCCCCAACCCTTAGCCGCCATTCCCTTTGACCTTCGCTCCCTCCCTCCCTCCCTCCCTCCCTCCCTCCCTCCCTCCCTCCCTCCCTCCCTCCCTCCCTCCCTCCCTCCCTCCTAGCCCCTATCTCCATCTCCATTACCTCTCCTCCCTCCCCCCCTCCCCCCTCCAGATACCCTTCACCTTCCCGCATTCTTAACCCCCCATTCCCTCCCCCCCATACCCCTACCGGCCCTCCCACCCACCGCCCGCTATCGTCCTCTCGCCCATATGTTTACACGAAGGAGAATATTCATGTGTATATCAATGACTTCCTGTAGACGTGTAAACATGAGAGACTCGGGTCTGTATGTCTTGTCTGCTTGTATCATTCCCGACGCCATGACTGCAGCCGCTGTGTGTGTGTGTGTGTGTGTGTGTGTGTGATAGAATGCGTGAGAGAGAGAGAGAGAGAGAGAGAGAGAGAGAGAGAGAGAGAGAGAGAGAGAGAGAGAGAGAGAGAGAGAGAGAGAGAGAGAGAGAGTGTGCGTGTGCGTGTGTGCATGCGAGTTCGTGTGTGTGTGTGTGCGAGTTCGTGTGTGTGTGTGTATGCGAGTTCGTGTGCGTGTGTGCGTCGCACGTGCATGTTCGTGCGTACGTGTATGTTTTGCAATTAGCGTACAAACGTTCAAACTTCGTATGCGTGCGTGTTCATAACATGCACTTACAGCAATATGACATTCATTTAATTTAACATCGAAAACTAACATCAAAATTCAACTCGGTAATTTCTATCAAGTGTTCCTTATTAGTTCTTATAAAAAAAAAAAAAAAAAAAAAGATCTAACAACAACAGTTTTACAAGATTATAAAATGAGGTAAAATATAAATAAAAGATCTCGAAATCCGTTTCATACAAATTTCAAATTTCGAAGAGCAATGAACCGAAATTCAACCGCAGGAAATGAACCGAAATCTAAACCATAAGAAATGAACGAAAATGGAATAAAGTAACAGAGCAAAATTTCGTCATAAGAAATAAACCAATCTTAATAAATCTTCATAAATTTTCAGGCCAATAACCTCACGGCTCGCGAGGGTCATGCGGTTCGGGGATTCATGGTCCAGTTTTCACTCGGCTCATACCTTTATTCTCTCTCTCTTTCTCTTTCTTTCTTTCTCTCTACTCTTTCTCTCTCTCTCTCTCTCTCTCTCTCTCTCTCTCTCTCTCTCTCTCTCTCTCTCTCTCTCTCTCTCTCTCTCTCTCTCTCTTTATTCATATATGGCTAGTAACTGGAATCATTTTCAATCTATTTTTTCTTCTCTCACTTCAAATAATAAATAAAACAATGTGTGTGTATGAATGTATGTATGTGTGTGTGTGTGTGTGTATGTGTGTGTGTGTATGTGTGTGTGTGTATGTGTGTATGTGTGTATGTGTGTATGTGTGTATGTGTGTGTGTATGTGTGTATGTGTGTATATGTGTGTGTGTGTGTGTATGTGTGTGTGTGTGTGTGTGTGTGTGTGTGTGT